TCTTAAGAAATTGGCCAATCACGGTCAAGTATGAGTAGAATGCGCGACTGTGATTAGTCAATTTCTTAAGGCTTAGGGCTTAAATCTCTATTGTAGACTGGGACTTAAGCCCGCTGCAGACGATGCTATTTTTCCTGCTGGATTGCTTGCAATCTAATAAATTACTATCGTTGCACCATTCAGCACTCAGGATTCCTAGTAATTTAGTAAATTGCAAGCAATCCAGCAGGAAAAATAGCATCGTCTGCAGCGGGCTTTATATGTCTATGGTTGGAAGAAAATTTCCGACGAATCCAACGCGTCAAAACTTCTATTCCCTATTCCTGTTGCCTGTTGCCTGGCATTGTGTGATAGGCTTTAAACTGCATTGGTAGAAACGGGCATTAATGATAGCATGATGGAGTGAGGGAGCACGTCAGTTAGGTTTAGAATATGGCGGATCTGTTACGTGAGTTTTGACAAAATATTAAATCTTTGCTTTTATTTGAACGCTCTAGAAAATATTGTGCTATTTGTGAACTAATATCCGGTACTATGCCCGTTGTGATCTTTTAAATATTTGAGTCCATTATTTCTTGCACGGTTGCAGGGAGATCGAATTTAACATCAGTTTCTTTTACGATGCACAAGGCTGAATAATTCTCGTAATAAAAGTCTTCAACTATTTTCTGTCGAAGAACCTATCTCTCTTATAGCTATTTGTAATTTTGCTTGACAAAACGGATAATTTCCTTTGATTAGTGTGTGCAAAGACTATCAACAATTGCATTCCAGTCGGAATCAATTTTTCACAAGCTCGCAGTTTTAATTAAGTAAGTATTTTTTTAATGATTCAAGTGTACATAACGTACAAAAAACATTTCCAAGAGGGGACCAGTTTTACTTTCTAAGCCTCTTGTTTGTTCTAATAATATGATGTTACATTGTCAGTCTGAATTATGTATATACTTGTATTTTCTACATATCTAAATATTTAGTTGAAAAGCCACAGCTCTAGCTTTATTCTGAATCTATTGTTTATGCTAGGCGATATTGTGTTTATTTTACGTTGAAAGTGTATGAATTTTCAATTTGCTTATAAGAAATATTTGAATATACAATTGATAATATTTTAAACAATTGTATGTGTAATATAGAATTGTTCAACATTATCATCTTAAAAATGGAATAATAAAAACATTCAGGTTTGTTGACCTTATCTGGCAATTTTAATGGTTTAAGTGTCGCTACGTTCCCAAAGGATCAAAACCCATGTTCAAAACGTAGCGACACTTAAACCATTAAAATTGCAAGATGAGGTCAACAAACCTGAATGCTTTCTAAAAAATATTTTTTACTTAAAACCTACAGTTTTGAATAATGAATATATTTCAGCAGCGCTTTAGTTAATATTCTTAACAATGAATCCAATACAATCTACAACTTTTTCGAACAATGAGAAGTCAAGATTGACACCGAATGAAGATCATCATTCTTATTCAGTTTTACGTTCAAGAACTGAGAAAGAGAAGGAGATACAGAGACAAGAGTGGCAGCGCCAGCAAGAGCTTGAGAGACAGCATGAAAAGTTGAAACAGCAAAAGATTTTAGAGTATGAAAGTAAACGTGCACAATTATATAAATATGCAGAGGACAAATCCTCGCTTCATAGTCTAAGCAAAAGCAATAGATCTGTATCGCCTGCCTCCGAATCTGATAGTTTACAACGTTTACATGAAAAGTGAGTTTGAGACTGTATATGTATAACCACATGCCTGTATCTTTATTACGTTCCAAGCTCGTATTAATAATTGATAGAGATAAGATAACTAGAACTTGAACATATCTGGAATGAATATTTCAACAAGATAAAATTAAAAATAAAAATAATTGTTATAAAATTATTTATTTTCAAAAATTGCCTTTGATATAGTATAAATAATTATAAATGAATAGAAAAATATTCGGGAATCCAAAAAATTATATTCTATTCTTTGTAGAAATTTGTTTGACTGTGTATTGTTTTTTACTTATCATCAATTTTACATTGACGATGGCAATAATAATTTTTAAGCAAGCATGACGTTTTATTAATCAAATAGGAAACTAAGACCATTTTTAGAAACAAGAGTAAACAAATCTAATTCTTTAGTTCAAAGAACCTATCCAGAAAGAGAACCATTTTGCTGAAAAAAAAACTGATGATTTTATTATAATACAAAAATTATATTGATTACATTTAATTTAACACATTATGATTGAATTTTCTTTAGATTAGATGGGCCTTCAAGTGGAACAATACCTTTGTTTAGAGGTCCTCAGAATGCACAGGTTAATACTATGGAATTGCGTCGCATTAAAGTTGATATTTACAGGAATATTCCTGTAACAGGACCTGTCACTGAATTATTAGAACGAAATATACTTAATCCTGAAGATGTGATTATCAAGAGAAGAGAGGGTAAAATGTTATATTTCTCTAAATTTATACTGTTTTCAATATTTTAATTATTATCTAACACTGTAATGTGAAAGATGATGTTACAATCAATGCCTTGACAGTAATATGTGGTAATAATGTCTATTGTACCAGTAACATAAAAGTTTTCTTGTAGTAGTTAGATTGATAGGTTTATTCTTTACATCTATGAAGAGTTTGGTATAAAAACTCCATTGTTAACTCCATGAAGATAACATCAAGCAAGAGAGATACCTATACTAATGAAGAACATTTACAAATCTAGTTCAAGATATTTTTCAACATGGGAAGAATACTTTATCTATTATTTTTGTTTTATATTTTTGCTATAAGAGATTTTCTAGAAAGCAAATATACTGTAACTTAAAACGTTCTTATATGAGAATTATATGTAATGTAGATCATAGTACCTATAGCTTGAGAAGCAGATTTAAAAAATCATGTTTTTGCAAAAAATTTAACTTAACATTGTTTATTTCTGAGCACTGATATACATATACATATCAGAATTATGCAACATTTTGATCATACTTTGAATTACAATTTTTCGATATTTGTTATTTAAATTAACGCGTTTAGAAGTCGTAAGATATTGTATTGCTTTGTCATAAGCCAAGTGAATACTAATTTTATTTTTCAATGTAGTTTTTATTAATATTTCTATTGTTGCTATTACAATAATAGTTAATAATAATAAATAAAAACCAATAAGTAAATCTTAAAAAATTCAATTTAGATAATAAGAAAGCTATAAATTATTCTTATCTCAATTTATTTCTCACTTATCTATATATATCTTGGCATTCTGTCATTAAATAATGTAATAACTATACAGGAGAAGGATGCAAACCAATTTTCGACAGAGAAGACATAAAAAAAGCTACGATCAAATCTAACGAAGTAGAAGAACGACGTAGAGTCGTAGCCATAGACAAAGAACAATCAAGTATGTATTACATTATACATGTAAATGTAAATACATTTTATTGATTCCCCTTAGAATTACAAGGCGTTTTTGAAGGAATGTGCCCAAAACTCTTATAACACCTCTCTCTATATCCACTTCGCTATGTGGCGATCGAATGAAAAACCAACAATGTTTTGTTTGGTTTTGAACCCGAATCTTCGGATTACCAGACCAGCGCACAATCTTCTGTGCCACGATCTCCACCATATTACATTATACATATTTCCTGGCAAATATATTCTCGGTAAATTGACTCTTCCTTCTGAGAGGTGGCGATCCAATAAAAACCGATGATTTCTAGTCAGATTTGAACTCAGGTCTTTGTCTCTCTAGAACAGCACTTAACTTTCTACGCAACGATCACCACACAATTTATTAATTCTTGAACTGATTAAATTCAAATTAATAAATGTATAAATATACACCGAATGTTTTTCAAAGTACTCTAATTCTGCGAAAAGTTAAAAAGTGTTTGTAATTAGATAAACGAAAATTATCTTGTATGTCAAAAACTGATTAATATTTTAGTTTTTGATTTTTGCAATTTCATAATAAGCATTATAATTTAAAAAATATAATACATATATTACAGTATTAATACTATGTAATATTACAGCCTCGACAATCAAGTCACGTACATCGAGAAGACGGTCTTTATCCCAGAGTCCAATTAGAACTCGTATTTATAGTTCTGAATATCCATCTTCCTATCAATCTAGGTTTGTTATATTCATGATAACAATATTCTTTTTGTAATAAATGTACCTTCTTTAATTAATTTTTTTAATGATTTTAGACATCACATAGATTTGAAGCATCAGGATAACAAAACAGAAAGTTGTCATATTCGTAAAAATGAGGGGTACAGCTAAGTTTTATTTAGTTGTAATTTTATTTACTTATTAATAGAAAACTTCAATCTTGTTTTTAAAATGAAAGCAAAAAGTATTATATAATTACAAATAATTAAATAACTGTTGTAGATTACTGAAAAGTATAATTTCTTTGCGTATTTTGTAGAAGAAGCCGTTTAGAGAAACACAGAGAATATGAAGAAAAATATATAGAAGGAAATGCAAGTAAACACGACACTAATCGATCGCGTTCTAGAGAACTGCATAACTCATACTCTAGGTATGGAGTGAAATCATTAATACAGATTCTCTGTTTTTATTAAATTGATATTATTTCCATTATTTTAAATATTTAAATTACTTTCAATTCGTTATGATTTAGAGATATCATTTGTAGAAAAAGAATGGGCAAGACTATTCTTTAATATTTATGAAGGCAATTACTAATCGTTATTCTTATAGGCCACTTCTGGAAGAGAAATCTTATCGCGACAGATATCGTGAAAGATCAAGTGAACGTTGTTATGAAAGGAGAGAGAGAGATAGATACAGGGACAGGTATAGGGACGAAGACAGAGATAGAGACAGGGATAGAAATAAGAATAGAGATAGATCGAGGGAGCGAAGAGATATAGTGCCGCATTGTATTGAACCACCAATACCTGTCCCTATCTATTGTGGCGTATGTAAATTATATATTACATAATACAAATTTAACTATTGACCTAAATGTTTTTAATTTGTTCAAAAATTGTATTTCTAATATATTTATTTTTTGTTAATTTACATTTAGAGTTTCCCTCCGAGACCCGTAGTAAGCCCTATGTTCCCATTAGGTCTAAGAGGACAAATTCCTCATATGGCAAGAGGCAGACACCCTGCTGTAATGGTATCAGCCAGACCATTTTTACCACGATTTCCTCCGGGTATGTACAGATTAGGACATCCCCAAATTCAAGTAATGTATCGAATCAATCATAATAATCATAATAATGTATCGAATCAACAATATGTATCGAATCAAAATAATGTAATTCAGTCTAATGTAAATTCGCTAAATTCATCCAAGTAATGTTTATACATTACAAATAACAATTCAAATATTACATAGCGTCATATTCTATATAATTAATTTAATTAGATTATAAAGGATATGTAATATAATCGCTTCACCTCTTATTTTTGGATAGAGTCGACTAGACTCAGTCGAGAAGTCCTCTACCATTTTACAATTTTCGCAATGAGTTATTAAAAATCGCTGTCTTGAGTCAACGGCGGTACACGATACAATTTTTCCTACTGGATTGCTTACGAGAGCCAATCAGGATGCAGAGTTTTCGATCAGGTGACTTAAGGCTAAATCCTGATTGGCTTTTGTAAGTAATCCAGTAGGAAAAAAAATAGTATCGTGTGCCGTCGGCTTTAGCCTTAAGTTACCTAATCTAAAACTCTGCGTCCTGATTGCCTCTCATAAGCAATTCAGAAGGAAAAATGGTATCGTGTGCCGTTGGCTTTAGCCCGCCTTACTACCCAATTCAAGCGGCGAGATGCGGCCGTCCCACGATCGGCGTTGCTAGCCGTGCGTGGAGTTATTATGCGTAGCCGTTGCCGTGTGTCATAATATAATAATAGAATATTATTAATGTTTTAAATTCTTAGTTAATTATAAAAATATAAATTTTAAGGTATTGATAAAGTAAGTTATGTCACGATTTATCAGCAACGGAAGACAATTTTAGAAGATAGTTTGATACATGGTGCAAGAATACCAGGTGTAACATTCCCGTGGATGCGCACTCGTAATCGATCAGAAATTCGCCCCAAACCTTCAAACTGCAAATAAGTGCGGTTGAATTTAGCAAGAACCACTGAACAATTTGCTCCAAAAAATTGGTTACATGTGCAATGTTTTACCTTGTATTTTTACATCATAGTTTGATATATTTTTTCATTGGAAGATAGTTTTCTACAGAAAGTTACTACGGAAGTTACTATTCTTCACTCAAGATTTTACAATCTACTACAATACTTTTATCTAGTTAAACTAAATAGCATATGATAAATTGCTAGTTTTAATCAGATTTTTAGGAAACTATATAGTGTTACCTTACAAATATATTTCTTAAGTTTGTTTTTAAAATGTTTTCATAAAATAATAAAATATTATTACGTTACAGTAGATAAATATTGATTTTACATTTAAGAAAAATATAGATATGAGTAGAAGTTAATATATAAGTTTTAATATCTTGCATACTTGTATATGTATATGTATGTATCTTGCGTATATTTGTGTAGCTTGACAAGCAGATTCAAAAAATAAAAATTATATTTTTGCAAAAAATATAATTTAACATAGTTTCTTTCTGAAGCACTGATATACATACAGGGCGAGGAAAGAGTATGAAAGCCCCAAAATTTGTCGAAAATTATACATTTAGAAACAATTGCTTCAGACAAAAATTGTAGTTTCACGCATTCAAGTAACGCATTATATATGCCCGTTCTACACTGGGATTAAAATGTGTAAAAGTAGAATGAAGTGTTGGTGACGAGCATTTCTTATGTCTTAAATCATTCAGTATCATAGATGGGAAACTACTAATGAAATTTTTTACCGTTGAATTCCGGCTAACTTCCAGTTAATAAATATTTAATTAAAATTATCTGAATCACTCACAAACCTTTTTAATTACACTTCATAACTCTTCGAAAATCGTCCTCGCCATTGGCTGTCGCTACTATTGCAAGTTACAGAATTCCCGTACAGGGGCTCAATTCTTGAATTCCTTCGAAAGAGAAACGTATACGCGAAAATTCTGCTCTTGCGGAAAGCTTTCGAATCGATTGGCTGTTCGCATCAGTTCACACGGCTTTTAGCCAATCAACTTGCAACTTTTTCGTAAGAACAGCATTTGCGCTTGTCTGCGTTTAATTAACTTATGCCGGAATCGGTAAAAATTGTCCAATCACCGTTAAAAGTGAAGAGAATAATTGACTGTAATTGGTTAATTTTTACCGATTCCGCCATAAGTTAACGGGTACGGCCTTGCACCAGAGAGAAGCCTGAGAGATGTCACGGCCCCGTTTTTCGTGATTGGCGAATGCGATACGCCCTCTGTGGACATTGAAAACGTGGACATTGAACTG